CTCTCCGCTTTGCGGGAGCAGCGGCACGCCCACTGATTCTTTAGCTACATCGTGTGCGGGTGGAAAAGAGGAGAGGCGGGCTACCACGGGTCCAGAGGGTGCACAGAGGGCGCACGCTGCTTCACCCGACGTTGGCTACTCGTGCTCGCCATTCACGATCCAGGGGGGGGCGCGAGTGAGTGAGAGAGGGAGGGGGGGAGGACAAGCTAGGTGCGCTCGCGTCATATCTGACATCCTACCCCTCCCTCCCATCACTTACCATGGCGTAGATCCCCTCTCTACTCGCACAGTAGGGTATCGAGCAAGGCAATGATCGCGAAAAGGGTACGCGATGCATTGTAGAGCACGGCATGGCATGGCGTAGAAGAGCACCGCAAAGCGTAGCATCAACCTAGCATTGCATTGCATGCCGTGGCATGGCACGGGAAATCACGCCAGCGCTGCAGCGGGAGCACGAGTCGAAACGAGCGGAAGCGCGGAAATGAGGCCAGCGCTGCAGCGGGAGCACGATTCGGAACGAGCGGAAGCACGGAAATGAGGCCAGCGCTGCAGCGGGAGCACGATTCGGAACGAGCGGGGCCCGAAAATGAGGCCGGCGCCTCAGCGAGAGCAGCATTTTGAAAACACATGCAAGCGAAAACCCAACTCCCGGGAACACCGTCTGTAAAAAACAATACGCGCGGGGGGGGGGGTCGAACACTCCCAGCACGTCATCAGGGGAAGAGGGAGAGTAGTATTCATATTGAGTAACTGTATAAAGGGTGATCGAACAGATTCGGTGTCTTTAAACCAGAACGGCACTTTACAACCGCGATAAGTCACTTTGCATTCAGCAAAGGATCGAAATCCAGGCTTGTCCTTGGAGAACGACCACTTTGCAACCAGAGCAACCCGCTTTACAACCAGAGCGACCACTTTACAATCCAAACGGGGCTCTTTGCAACCAGAGCGGCCACTTTACAACCCGCCTTCAGGAGCGCATGCGCGCTCTGCAGAAGCGTCTGAGGCTTCTGAGCGTCTGAGCATTCTGCAGAGGCATCTGAGCGCCTGAGCGCTCTGCAGATTCTTCTGAACGCCCGAGCGCTCTGCAAAGGGACCTGAGCGCCTGAGCGTTCTGCAAAGGCTTGGAGCGCCTGAGCGTTCTGCAGAGGCCCCAGAGCGCCTGGACGCTCCGCAGAGGCTCCTGAACGCCTGAGCGCTCTGCAGATGCTTCTGAGCGCCTGAGCGCTCTGCAGAAGCTTCCGGGTGCTTGAATGTTTAGTAGAGGCTTCTGAGCGCTCTGCAGAGGCGGCTGAGCGCCTGAGCTTTCTGCTGAAGCTTCTGAGCGCCTGGGCGCTTTGCACAAGCTTCTGCGCGCCTGAGCGCTCTGCAGACGCATCAGAACGCCTGAGCGTTCTGCAGAAGCTTCTGAGCGCGCGTCCGCTTTGCAGAGATTCCCGAGCGTCTCAGCACTCTGCAGAGGCTCCTGAGCGCCTGAGCGCTCTGCACAAGCTTTTGAGCGCCTGGGCGCTCTGCAAAGGATTGCGACCGCCTGAGCGCCCTGCGCTGGTATCTGAGCGCCTGGGCGCTTTGCAAAGGCGCCTGCGCGCCGGAGCGCTCTGCAGAGGCATCTGAGCGCTTGGGCGCTTTACAGAGGCTCGTGAGCGTCTGAGCGTTCTGCAAAGGCATCTGATCGCCTGAGCGCTCTGCAGATGCTTCTGAGCGCCTGAGCGCTTTGCAAAGGTTTCTGAGCGCTTAAACGCTCTGCAGCAGCTTCTGAGCGCTCGGGCGTTCTGCAGAGGCTCCTGAGCGCCTGGGCGCTCTGCAAAGGCTTCTGAGCGCCCGAGCATTCTGCAGAGATTTCTGGGCGCCTGAATGCTTTGCAGAGGCTTCCGAGCGCCTGGGCGCTCTGCAGATGCTTCTGAGCGCCCGAGCGTTCTGCCGAGAGCTTCTGAGCGCCTGGGAGCTTCGCAGATGCTTCTGAGCGCCTGGGCGCTCTTCAAAGAGCTTCTGAGCGCCTGAGTGCTTTGCTGAGGATTGTGACCGCCTGGGCGCTTCGCAGAGGTTTCCGAGCGCCTGAGCGCTCTGCAGTGGTTTCTGAGCGCCTGAGCGCTCTGCAGAAGCTTCTGAGCGCTTGGGCGTTTCGCAAAAGATTGTGACCGCCTGAGCGCCCTGCAGTGGCTTCAAGGCGTCTGGCACTTAGCACATGCTTCTGAGCGCCGGAGCGCTCTGCAGAGGTTTTGAACGCCTCGGCGCTTTGCAGAGGCTTCTGAGCACCTGAGTGCTCTGCAGAGACATCTGGGCGCCTGAGCGTTCTGCAGAAGCTTCTGAGCGCTTGAGCGCCCTGCAGGCTCTGAGCGCCCGAGTGTTTTGCAGAGGCTGCTGATCCCCTGAGCGCTCAAGCGCCGGCCCGTGGGCGCCTGAGAGCCTCTTGCAAGGATTTGGCCAACGATTTGTTGATCACATTTCCGCCCTCCTGGTTTTACATGCTTCCGCGAATGCGAAAACATCAAGTATTGTTATTGCCATGCGATGAGGCGCTAGAACACAAACTGCTTGCGACGCCAAACGAGACAGATCGAAGTCCGCATGCATTGACTGGAATTTAACCAACGATTTCTTGTGCACATGATCGCCCTCCTGGGTACGCATGATTCCGCAATTGCGCAAATGTGCGGTTTGGCACTGCCAGACGATGGGGCGCGAGAGCAAACGTGGTCCATGATGCAGAACATACACGATTTGAAATCCACACGCAATGTCTCGAATTTTACAAACGATTTCTCGGCCACATTTCAGCTTTCCTGGGTACGCATGCTTCCGCGAATCCGAACACATGCGGTTGTGCCATTGCCGGGAGATGAGACGCGAAGGCACAAAATTGCCCGAAAGGCCAAACACAGTACATGTACATCCGCACGTAATGGTTCGAATGTAACAATCGACTGTCCGCCCTCCTGGGCACGCATGCTTCCGCAATTGCTAGACGATGAGGCGCGAGGACAAACATGGTTTATGATACAACAAACACATGTTGAATTCCACATGTATGGTTCGAATGTTACCATCGGTTTTTGTCCACATGTCCACCCTCCTGGGGACGCGTGCGACCGCAAATGCGAAAACATGCAGACGACGAGGCGCGAGGACACAAATTGTCTCTGATTCAAAGCCACATGCGTCGGCTAGAACTCTACCATCGGTGTCTTGGCAACAATTCCGCCCTGCTGGGTGCGAATGCGTCCGGAATTATGGCAGCATACTCTTTCTTGCGATTGTCAAACAATGAGGCGCGAGGACAAACATGGCTTATGATGCAGAAAACACAACATGTTGAAATCCACATGTGTGAATTAGAATGTAACAACTGATTTCTTGGCCGCATTTCCGCTTTCCTGGGTGCGCATGCTTCCGCACATGCGACAGCACATGGTTGCGCCGTTGCCAGGCGGTGAGGCGCGAGGGTACAAGATGTCCATGGTGCAAAAAACGTAGAAAAAATAAAACTTATAATTTTACCTACGACTTCTTGGCCACGCTCACGCTCTCCTGGGGGCGTGCGTGTTCCTCTGCGTCTTTTGCTGCGAATGCTTACTGTCCTTCTGTTGCCAGAAGAAGCAAGATTTTCAGGCAGAGGTTACGAGGCTCCAAAAACGATGTAGATTTAGGCATGGGTGATTAAAACAAGCTTAACCCGCCCAGGTGTTCCAATAGCTCTCTAATTATGGGTACCACAGGGATGACACTAGGACGTCAATCGGGGCACACTTCGATTCAAAGAGGACAGGTTTGTGTTGGGTTACAGTTGGGTCCTGATGGGAGCCCAGTCGTATGCCCGTATGAATCGAAAAGGAAGGACTCCGATTGGATTCAAATCCGATATCCTTCGCATTTGCCAATATGGCTCCGATGGGATTCCAAGAGTAACGGTTCCTGCTGAAGAACCCACAAGAATCTCCACCGGGTTTCCATATAGTACCCCCGATGCGTTGCCGCAGCATTCCAATAGGAAGGTTCTTCGATTGTAATCCAATGGGGTTTCCAATCGGTTTCCATTAGGAAGGGCCCCAACGGGTTCAAATAGGAAGCATCCCCATCGGATTCCGATGGGAAGCCCGCAGGCCCCATAGCGAGAATTCTTGTTGGAAACCAATGGGCTTCACCTGGTACCAACAGGATCCCAGTGGGAAGGGTGCCAATAGGATTCCAATGGAATTCCCGTTGGACCCCATTCGGAATCCACCGCTTCACAGATTTTTGCTTCAGACGAATCATTTTACAACCAACGCGCTTTAGAGAGCGAAGTGTCTCCCTTACCTGGACTTACGGAAATTTCGAACATTGAAAAATATGTGTCGCTTATGTGCGTTTACGTGCCTGGTTGTAAAGTGGCCTTCTTGGTTGTCAAATGCCCTTCCGGGAAAATCCATGCTAAATGTACAATGCCCCATCTGGTTGTGAAGTGGCCGGTCTGGTTGCAGTGTGACCCGCACGCGGGGAGGGAGGGGGGAGGGAGGGGGGGAGGGGGGAGGGGGGAGGGAGGGAGGGAGGAGGAGAGGAAGGAGGAGGAGGAGGAGGAGGAGGGAGGAGGAGGAGGAGGAGGAGGAGGAGGAGGGGGAGGTGAGGACTAGAAGAAGGAGGAGGAGGAGGAGGACCCGAAGGTCCGAGCGAGCGGCTCGTCAGCCCACGCCGCGCAGCCTCCGCGCCCTCGCGCCGCGCGAGGCGTGAGGCGCGATCGCCCCCCCCGCGCGCCTCCGCGCCCACCCACCCCGGAGGGAGCCGGCTCCCTGGACCAGGCCGCGAAGAGCAGATCGAGATGGCTCCGCGACGCCGCGGGGGCCTCCGCCTCTCTCCCTCTCTCTCTCTCTCTCTTCCTCCTCCTCCTCCTCCTCCTCCTCCTCCTCCCTCCTCGTGCTCCTCCTCCTCCCTCCTCGTGCTCCTCCTCTATCCTCGCCCACCAGAAATCTCCGTCGCGACGCGGCAGAGCAGTCGCGCCGTTGCCGTTTTGGTTGTCCTGAGTCCTCGGGGTGGGCCTCGTTCCATCGGGCCAGTGCGCCACCGGGCATGACCTTGCTGATCGTCACGGGCTCCCAGTTCTTTGTGACATTCAGCTGCCACCCCATGGTGTCATCCATTGTTTTGTCTGACGTATCGTCCTCGGGAAGCTGAAAGGCGGCTGTGAACTCCCTGCTGTAGGTCTGCTTGTACAGGGCATCGCGCGCCGAAGACCTATCACTTCTTTCCTGGCAGGGGATGCATACACTTGTGGATGCCAGGACAATGGACACTCTAACAGCCCTATCATTGGATGTAAGGTGTGTTGGTGATGTGGTGAAGCTGTACAAAACATGTTTCAAGTATGGTTCTTGCATTGTTTAAACATGTGTTCAACGTTTTCTGGACATCTGGAAATTATTCGACACCATGCCTCCTCTCCATGCATCGTCTTCCACAAACATACAAGTGGGGGGCAAGGAGGGATAGGACGAAAAGAGCAGGGAGGCGAAGCAGAAGGTGGTGGGATAGAGAGAGAGGGACAAACAAACAAGAGAGCAGGGAGCAGCGAGAAGAGGCGGAACCCGAGGCCAGATGATGGATGAATACAGCGAGAGGGGAGAGGAGCTCTACACAAAGATGGAGCAGGAAGGGGGATGGGGAAAGAAGATGAAAGATGATGGAGATAAAAATCAAGGGAAAGAGGCGTGGGGTATGGGTGGATGGGTAAGGGGGGGCACGCAACCCTGGCGGTAACCAGCCGGTCCCCTGGGTCAGCATGGAGGGGGGGGGGAAGAGAAGAGGGAAGAAGTGCTGGGGGGGGGCACAAGAGGAGCAGGAAAGGATGGATGGAGGGAGCGAGGGGGGAGGCACGGATGATGGAGAGCGCAGGGGGGAGACGAGGGGATGGAAGGGGGGCCGAAGAAAGAAAGGACGTCGTGATTTTGTTTGCTCTGGCAGAGCGGTCGTTATCCCTTGGTGGGGGGCGGGGCCGGGCAACCACAACGCCTGGAAGGACCCAAACCTGCGATGTCTTGTTTTTGCTCAACACGGGGTCGCCGGAACTTCCGCCCCCTTATCTAGAAGAAGATAAAATGCCATACGCATGATTTGGCGCTCCGCGCTCCCAGGGACGGCGCTGGAGCGCCGCCAGGGGGGCCCAGGCGCAGAACCAAGAAATCCTGAAGGTAGAAACACGGAGTAGAAAGGCGCTGAATGTAGACCGTGCGTCCGCCCAACCCCTAATGAGGACGGAAGAGGTGAAGACACTCGATCATTGAAGCAAGCAGGCGCTTCGAGTAGATCGAAAATCTGGGACTCCAGAAGTACCCACTTCCAACGACCGATGGGTATGGCGTTGCTTTTTCTTCGATTGCCTTTCTTGCTTTCGACGCGGGCAGGTCTGGGGAGGAGGGAGGGGGGACAGCGGAGGGGCGCCATGCCGTCCGAAAGCCGATGACGACAGCGACGACAATGACGACGACGACGACGACGTAGGGACAGCGGAAAGTCGAAGCAGGAAGAGGGGTGCCATGCCGCGGGCTGCCTGGACCGGGCGGGGCCGCCGCAGCCCGATGGAGAAGGTGCCGTCGAGGCGGTCGCGGTGCTCGTAGTTGAACTTGAGGTGGCTCAGGAAGACGGTGGAGTTTCGCAGCCAGTGCCTAGGAGAAGGAGGAGGAGGAGGAGGAGGAGGGAGGGAGGGAGGGAGGGAGGAGGGAGGAGGGAGGGAGGGAGGAGGGAGGAGGGAGGAGGGAGGAGGGAGGAGGGAGGAGGGAGGAGGGAGGAGGAGGAGGAGGAGGAGGAGGAGGAGAAACGGAACGGAGCGGAGCGGAGCGGCCTAACGTCCACTCCCTGCCGGGAGCGGCCCCCTGCTGCCAGTCATAGAAACTGCCTGGGCAGGCCGTGGGTGATGAAATTTGGAAAATACGTTGGTAGAGAAGCAACGAAGTGCTCGTCAGCCCACCTCTTGACCGGCCTACCAGTTCGTCTCCAGGCCCGCATACGGAATTCCGGCGTCCACAGCAGTAGTCTCTTTGACCATTTGCCCTGGGTGTCCGACAGCGTACGTTCAGGCAGAAACCGTTTGCGTCGCTCTCGAATGTCAACCCAGCTCTCGAAACCCAGTTCCGCAGCTTTCGAAATAGCTAAGTGCGTCGATCTTCGTATGTAATGAACCCATGGCTCGTCAGAACGACGCGGGATTTGCAATTTTCCGCAACATCCTTCTCCACGTCGTCTGCAACGTTGATGTAGTGCTTGCCCACACCGTCCAGCATGAACTGGCGTACAAGGCTGCCGGTGTTACCACTGCGTCGAAAAGTCTCAACTGTACCGGCAGCGGATATCTGCGAGAGCAAAGAACATTCTTGAATGTAGCAAATGGCCTCCAAGCAGCGGCCATCTGGTGCGATAGCTCAATACCGTGATAATCCCCAAAACACACGACTCGCCCAAAATGCTTCTCTGAATTGCAAATGGGTGCAATATCGACATCACAGTCCCCAGCATGCACATAAAGCCCAGGCTGAAAACATATGCTGCTGAGTAGTTTGGTTTTGCCGAGGTGCACCTTCAGTCCGTAATTGCCGGCGTGTTCACGCAGGTGAGCAAGCATCTTCGCGACGTCAGACTTGCGTGGCGCAAACAGCAATCCGTCATCGGCAAAACGCAGATTGGTGAGCGGATCTTGGGGATCGTCCACCACAAAGCCGAAGTATTGGCTAGTGCGCCACGTATCGAGGTCACCCCACTTCCTTTTCATCTTCGAGAAACAGGACTCCATGACAGCAGTGAAGAGTAGGGCGCTGACAGGGCCCCTCTGTTTGACTTCGCGTGCCAAGCAGAAGGGCCTCGAATCCATTCCAGTCGCCACAATCTCAAACTGGTCCTTGTAAAGCTTTCGCAACAGCGAGATGCACGAATCAGGGATGTTGAACTTCAGCAAGACGTGCCAAAGAGCAGCGTGCTCGACAGCGTCGTAAATTTTCGGAATCTTCGAGGCCCACCCATGCAGGTTGATTCCATTTGTCACATTTTTCCACTAACAACGATAAAGCCAATAGATGATCTTCACTGCTGAAGCCCGGCCCGTAGGCGGCATGGCCTGGAGGTTGGTGGCGCAGAATGATGGGCTGCAGCCCGTTGCACAGCATCCGCGCGAAGACTTTGTATAGGACAAATGAATTGGCGATCGGGCAATAGTTCTGCGGCCAATCCGGGTCGCCCTTTCTGAATAACACTACAAGCTTGGTCTGTCGCCATGCAGCGGGAGGGCCTTTGTCCTGCTTGACTGCCATGTTGAACTGCTCCAGCACACGATCTCTGAGCACCTGCCCGCCGCATTTCAACATTTCAGCTGCTACCCCTGCGGCGTCGTGACATCTGCCAGACTTCAAGGTTTGCGGAGCGGTGTCCAACTCTGTAGAGGTAAATGCCGGATCGTCGCCATCCAGAACTCGACAATCGCGTCCTTCAGTTGCCAGAGAAGAAGAATACAAGTCTTCGTAAAATTTGGCGACAACTTCTGCGATGCCCTGCTTGGACTCATTGGTGATGCCGTTCTTGTCGCGCACGCGAGCGATGTGCAACGCCTTCTAGTTCAATCCACAATTTGTCAATTCTTCCAGGCCTCGGAACTCGTTAAGTATCTTCTCTAAGTTGGCGGATTTCCAGGCCTGCATGTTGCACCGCTGGTTCTTCTTGATATTTTTGGTTAGCTCCGTGCGGTTTGCGCGCCTCGCGCGCCTCGCAAGATCTCGCTGGAATCTCAATGCGCGCCTCTCGGCGATCAGACCATTGATGGCGGGGTCCGAATATAAGTCGGCCTGCTGGCCAGCAGACTTGTTCGCGGCGGTGGCAGTTGCCTGGACCATCGCCTCCTCGATCGTGCTTGCGAGTTGCGTTGATGACCCATCTTCGTGTCCAGCATTCCCAAGTAGAGAATCCACCCGATCACGATACTTGTCACGATCCACATTCGGAGCCCATCGCGCCCCGCGTCTTGGAGCCGCTGTCCGGGGACGCCGCCCGAAGGAAACAATGATCTGCAGCGCTCGGCGGTCAGATCCAATGCCGATGTCCGCCTTCCGCATCTTACGTGGAACGATAATGAAATCCAGATGCTTGTCCGAAATGCCATCCACGCGAATCCTTCGGCCCGCGCCATCAAAAATGCCCACAAGAATTAGCCCGCGTAGAAGACACCAATTGATGAACAATCCGCCCCGTGCGTTACAATGTCCGATGGGGTTGGGGCCGCAAACAACTTCATCAACGATATTGCCAGGGAGTGGCGTCTATGACGCTACCAGGTCCGACCTCTGCGTTGAGGTCTCCAGCGATGATCGGTCAAAAAGTTGGCGCCCAAGAGGGTGTGAATGGATTCGTACACCGCCTCCGCCATCGCATCCGGCTTTCCGACATGAGGCATGTATACGCCTACGATGTCGACGCTCACGCCGCGACCCACCACTGTCACTGCCGCAACTCTGTTCGACGCAGCACTGAAATTCTTCTATCCCCATCTTCTGTGCAACAAAAATGTCCGCTCCGTTCAAACCCCTCGCGCCTCCACTTCCTAGCCACGTGTGCCCACCCTCCGTTTCGATGCTCTCTCCAGGTCTCCACAAATACGATTGCGCCCCAGCTGCGGTCGCCCAGCTCAAACATAATGGCCTCGTGTGTGTCGCAATTCGTGAAAAATGGGTGTTGTAAGCAAAAACGTCCAGGTCGTGGATGTGATTATAAATGCCGTCGCAATTAGGCAAATAATCATCATCTGGATCTAATTCGCGATGTTCTGGAAACGTCGCACGTGCAGAAAGAGAGATAGGCGAACCGATAAATGTGGGAGCAAACTCCCGTCATTCGCTTTCCGTGACCGGGTCCTGGTCGAACTTCTTCCACCACTTCTTCATGGCAGCATCCACATGTTCTTCAACTTGTTTAGCTGTTTTTGTTGTGTGCCACCTCCCGTCGTCATCAAACCGTGCGACTTTCCTCCTTCCAACGTTCACCATCTTTTCCCCAAAAATCACCTGCACGTCCTCCTCCTCTCCTTCATCAATGTGGCGTAAAAAATGCCTGGTGTATCCCAACCCCTTGTCCTGCGCGCGCTCCGTCTTGGTCAGGCTGCTCCTGCAGTACAGCTCACCAAAGATAGACCGGTCTGCGTAGTCCCTGGCTGCCTTGTAGAAGTCGATGTTGTCCCGGATGCTTCCGAAAGTGATTACCCCCATTATGGTAGGGTTAGATCAATAGATACCTTAGGTGAGAAGCCCTTGCCAAGCACCTTTTCGAGGATACTGGTAACATTTTGCTCAGCCATGGATGCTTCCAGTCTGTCGTGGAAACCAAAAACCAAAGTTTGTTTCGTTCGGTCCTCCGCGGAACCGTCTGCCATGGCAGCGCCAGAACCCTGTGCGATTACACCCCTGGCCTCCCTGAGCGCGCTGACCTGCTCCTGAAGCTCCTTCAGCTTGTCATTCATGGCTTTCACCTCCTGGCCGAGCTCTGAATCCTTCATGGTCTGCTGCATGGTGTCCTTCGTGATGTAGGTGTCCTCGAAGTCTGCTTTGATGCCATCGACGTCAATCTCAACCTCCTCCACGCCTGACCGGATCTCGTCGACCGCCATCCGTCGCCTACTCGGCTTGCTTCCGGACTTCCACGATATCCCGTCGCATCTGTCCGAACTCCCGAGAGATATTCTCAACATTCTTGTTCTGCCTCTCTTCGAACTGTTTGAAACATGCTGGGGCCTGCGAGTCTACAGCCTCTATGCCGCTGGCATCTGAGAACAAATCCACGTCGTCGTCTGAGTTATTGATGTACCTGTTAGTTCTAACCTTCCGTAGGGATGTAAGCTTGGTAGGTGTACCACTGCCCTGCCTCTTCGACTGCCCCGAACTGTTCATGCTGTGTATGCCGACACTTGAAGGTTGAACGGTGCAAGTTTATAGTAAGAAGGATGGGCAATAATGACTTGGGCAATAATGACTTGGGCAAGAATAAGGAGGAGGAGGATCCCCGAAATCCTGGCGTCGCGTCTTGGCACCACGGGCGATGCTGCCTCCATTCGGGCTCCAAGAGCCTCGAGGATCGATCCAGCTCGAGAGATGCTGCAGAAAGATCTGGTCCAGGGCGTGGTCAAATTGTTCTACGATGCTGCATATTCTCCGTGACGTCGGATCGCAGATGAGGAGGAGGAAGAGGAACAAGAAGGCCAAGGAGGAGTTCGGGAAGTGGGACGAGAGAGGTACGTACCCACCACCAGGGTGCGCGCAAGACCTCATCAACTTTCGCTGTAATGGGAAGGACGCTGGGCATGCATGGCAGCTTGCCAGCTCCAGCAACGCCCCTCTCCTCCTCCTGCTCCTCCTCCTCCTACTTCTCCTCCTCCTCCTACTTTTTGATCCAATGCCACGCTGCTGCTTTCGTGCGCCGGTCGCGTAAGGAGACAGGGGGGCGACCGAGCATCGAGGACCAGGGGCGCTCCGAGGGGGGCGTTGGTTGACGCATCATGGGGGGATGTCTGCTCATTGAGGCGGTTCGGACGAGACAGCTCATGCGAGGCAGTCATTCCGAGAGGGCGCTCGTTGAGGCAGGTCGATGGAAGCAATTTCCCAAACTCCAGACGTCATGATTTTGTTCATCATGTGGA